ACGGGAAGCGCGGCCGCAGCGCGACCGGAAAGGGAGCCGGAGCTGGCAGTGGCGCCGGGGACGCCGGGAAATGTAGTCCCGCCGACCGCCAAAGGAAGCGCGAGGAGAGAGGCCGCCCCCTGCCCTTTCCGTGTCCGCGGGGGAGCGCGGCCTCTAGACCGGAAGTTACGCTAGGGACGAGGGGACCTTGGCAAACTTCCGGCCGAGCGGCGGAAGAGCGTCACCTCAACACCGGAAGTAGCACCGGGGGCGATGGGGAATGTAGTTCCCTTCGAGGATTTCTGGCCAGTACACGCGTGCTTGTTACCGACGCTCGTGTTCTTACGTTGGTTCTGCGCCACTCTCTCTGGGAGGCTTCTCTGCGGCTGTCGAGCCCAGTCCGTGTTATTATTTTCCTTGCAATGCCCCAGCAAAGAAAGTGCCAGACTGAGCCCCACATAGGCATGACACCAGGCCCACCCCGCTCCGCTTAAGGCGCCTGCCTTGTCTTTATCCGATCCGCTCGGATGTGGCCTCCGACTCTGCCATGGATCCCCCAGATACGACGTTGGACTACATCTCCCACAGCCCCTTGCCTGCCTCTCCCACAATCCCTTGCCACGGCCACTCTGGGCTGTTGGGAGATGAAGTCCCCAAATCAGGAGGCCAGTAGAAGTAGAGAGGCCGCGGCCTAAATCCTAAAGGCTCCTGTAAGCAGACTTAATTTTTAGGGGCTTTTAAGAGTAGAAAGATGCCAATGAATGGTTAAATAAATAAGTAAATCAGTGTTTCTCCACTGTGGTAATTTTCAGGTGTCTGGACTTCAACTCCCAGAATTCCCCAGCCAGCCTGGCTGGCTGGGGAATTCTGGGAGTTGCAGTCCACACCCTTTAAACCCGCCAAGGTTGAGAAACACTGCCCTAGAGGTTTGTATTTAATGTAACTAATTTTCGGTGTGTGCTTGCCACATCCTGAAATGTTTATCAACCTTTCCACCAGCAGTACATCAGGAGAAAATCAAATATAAATCTTTCCTCTCTCACGCTGAAACATCTTCAACTGGTAGAATTCTCCCCGTTAAATTTATTCCTATAGAATAAAACGTAAAAAGGAAGGGAAACAAATTTGGTGAGGTGAACTCTTTGCGTAAACGTGTCTTCTCAGATTCAGGATTAACGTCTGGAAATACCAGTGTGGGAAGCTGATTTATGCCTTGTGTTTCATTGCGTGGCTCCATCACTCTATAACTATTGATATTTGCCTTTGTAAGAGTCAGCCTGACTGCTTTTGGTGTAACTTTTGTGGGGTGGCCAAAAAACTCAAAAACGGCCAGCGAGACGAGAAACTGAGAAATTCTCGTAACTGAAGCCTCACAACTGAAACGCATCAAATTCTTGAGTTGCCACCCTGGAGAGGTTTTGTCAGTCAACAGAGGGAACTAACTAGGCCACTGCTGGTGTAAGAGAGTTTTAGAGAAATGGGGCAACTGATCCATTTCTGGCCCAAATTCTGCATCCGATGTGCTTCTGCAAAGAATCCAGCCTATACAAAAGGTGGATCTTACAAGCTCAAGGTGTGGAATGCTTTCTTCTTGCAATGAGATAAGCAACATCTAATTTAGCTTTTGAAGAACTTGCTAAGGAGCTTTGATTACATCCAACATTGGATACCCGTGAAACACTAAAATTGTACTGTTTTAATATATGTTTCTGCTTTCCCTGTGTGTGTTTTTTGGGCCAAAACACAGCCAGTATTTCATTTTCATTTTCTCACCACTCATAAACCAAATGGGCACATTTTCTCGCCAGTTGTAAACCAAATGGGCATTTACAGACATCTATAAATGACTTCACTGGAAAGTTAAGAGAACACACATTGTAGATTTTAATGATTGTCCAAGTTTTATTTTGCACAAACGTATGAGCTTCAGGCTTCCAGCAAGCATTTCTGAACACTGAATGATATATCCCATCAGTGTGGTATTGTTGTCTACAAGTTCATAATCTAAAGGTGTGTTTGCACTGTTCTTCCTTGATTCTTCTCATTCTTGATCGCATACAGAATCAACCATGCAACCCTCTGCAAAGGCAAAAAAGAAAATGATGGTAAAGGAGCCAATATCAACAACATAATCCAAGTGGAAATGTTTGATTTAGGACCAGTGCATCTTTAGGAGCTGTAGAATTGTTGAAGTTCGATTAGATATTGGACCACAGCAATGACAGGTTAGATATTGGACCACAGCAAAGATAGCTTTCTCAGCCCACCGGGTAGATCAGACAAGGAAATTAACTTCACAGGAAGGCGACAGCCACTTTTATTCAGATTGGCTCTAATAACAGAAGCTTGCAAGTCTGATTGTGCTGGATCTTCTTCTTTTTATAGTTCAGTGAATTAGAGACACATCTGCTTGAACCACTTCCAAATGTTCTCTCATTATCTCATTCTAGACTTAAAAATGCTTCAGCCCCTTTCCTTTGCCTAGACAACCTATCTCCATCAAGGTCATCTTCCTTACTTTCTACAAAGATAGACCAGAGTAAGGAAGATGACCTTGGATATTGGACCAGAGCAAAGATAGGTTAGATATTGAACCAAGCAAACCTAGCAGCCATTTTCACCCCATAGCTCTATTACTATCTTGAAGGAAAGTGACAATATTTTTTAGAGAAGGCATACAGAGGCTGTATAGCAACTAGTGATGACCCTAATCTTCTACTCAGAGCTGAAGTGGAAATGAAAACTGGAAAAGAAGAAAACAGCCTGCAAGGCAACTCTTGGCTATTTCATGCACGGTTCTGCTCCTAAGCATAAGACTCAAGTAGCAGACATAGCACTGTCTGTTGATTTTCCAAGGGTTGCCCAAATACATCCAGAGTTTTCACATCTGAAAGGTTTCTCAATGAGAATTTAGAGATCAGCTTTATCCACCTCTCCTCCTTCTCTCCCACTTGTGATGCTACTTTTTTTTGGCCATGTGATTTGATGCTATTTGAAGAGCTTATCTGGGTGCTATCAACCTTCTCTTTGTGCTGGGTTTACATTGCATCACTTGTTCTGTGGAGGAGAATGGGTGCTCTCATAAACAGCATTGAGGTGGCTTCTGCCACCTGGCTCCTGTTTTTTGAAATGGCGTCTTTGTCTCCATTCAGACAAGTCCTGGCTTAATTAAGAACCATAGAACCATTTTTTTTTTTTGCGAGGGGGTATATTGCTGAGAGTGTTAATGATTGTGGTGATATAAATAAATGAATAAGAGGCTCCTGAAGTATGTAATAATTAGGGATAGCTGCTGCCTTCCCCTCATTTCTAAGCTCTTGGAATGGCTGCAAAAGGCAACGTTTTTACCTAATAAGTTTTCGGTGAGGCTTACAATCTGATTTACCTGAAAGGGTCACAGATATTTAACTGCCTTTGTTTCTTGTTATGGAAATTTGACTAAACAGATTGGCCCGATCTTTGATTTTTCAAAGATTTATGGAGCATATTTTCCATGATTTTTAGACAGTTTTTTTGACTGTGTATCTAGATGATTTGCAGGTTTTCTTAGAGGATCCTGCCCTCCACACTGACCAGGTTTAAGCAGTTTTTCAGGGCTGTGACTGCAGCCAGTATTTAAACTGGGGAAACGTTCTTTTGATCTACCTATGTTAGATTATTACAGATACTGTATTTCCTTAAATCCATCTAAAGTAGAATACATTCTGTCTTGGGAGCCCCTTGTGCTACCTGGGACACATAATGGTCTCTTGACTTGGCCAGTTTTATTGTAAATTTATTCCTAATTCTGCTACACTGACCAATCAGTTGACTTGACTCACCCAAAAAGGAGTTCCCTGTGATTCTGATGCCTACCAAGCATTTTTTCAACACCAAAAGGTATTTACTTCTCTGCCCATTCTCAGTTATGCAACATACTGCCTGGACTGCTGCAATGCATTTTACATGGGGCTGCCCTTGAAGAGATCTGGAAGCTGCAGCCAGTCCAAAATGCTGCACTCCTTGGTCAGCACCTATTACACCTCTGCTCCGTGAGCTCCATTGGTTGCCAGTGTGCTTCCAGGTTCAATTCAAGGTGCTGGTAACTACCCATAAAGCTGTGCATGACATGGGGCTGGGTTATTTGAGGGATTGCCTCTCCCCTATTGTATATACCCATCCCATCAGATCCAGCAGGAGAGGCATGCTATGGTCCAGTCTATTAAAGACTGCCATGTGACAGGATCCAGGAACAGAACCTTTAGAGGCGAATATGTGTAGCTCAGGGTTCAACTGTGGAGTCCTTGGGGTTCTCTGAGCTTGGTTCTTTTCTTGCAAACGTTTCCTTACCCGGCTAGGTAACATCTTCAGTGCTAACCCCATCCCATTTTAGCACTGAAGATGTT